TTCCAATAATTGTTGTTTCCATTTCCATATAATAGATTGCTTGTAGATTCACTTCCATTACCAGCCGACTGGGGTCCTGTGTTATGTACTGTTGATGATTAATTTTTTGGTGCTTAAGATGGATAGGTTTCTCAATATGAAATAGTAAATTAAGAAATATTTTGTTCATTATGTCTTGTTATTATCATGTATCCTTTTCTTTGTTTTATCATTAGCTTATTGATGTTACATCCTAAAATATACACTTTTTTCCTACTATTTGTTAGAGATGTACGTGCATGTTACATAAGGAATCACCCTAACATTCATGTGTCCCCCATTTGCTTATTCACTTTTGTAGTTTCATGCCCTCTTCATACAACTTGGATGAGAGTGTGGAGAAGGTAGGTAGTGGCCACAGTCCAGATAGTTGACAGTGGCTATGCCAAAGGAAGCTTCAAACTATAATGTTAGGATTGAAGTGAGAGAAATTGTGAGATCTGAGACGGCCTGGCCATGTGCAGCTCATGGACAAAGATTCCATTGGTTAAGCGCCAGTACTAGTTGAAGGGTAGAAAGAGGGGAATATGACTATAGACTGAGATGGAAGAAGCATGCCTCATGTATCAAACATGGGCCACCTAGGAGTTATTGGCTAAGCACAACCAGTATCTTAGGGATGAGGTCCTGAGGATGCTTTAGCTCTCCAAATAATAAGGATGGAATGTATTGTTTAAGGTACACATGCTGAGTGATAAAATGTTGTCTTTGGACTGGGTGGTAATGCTGTTAATGAGTTTATTACGCTGGTATTAATTTTGACCTTGACCAATAAACATACCATCTAGCACTGGAGCAAATAATACAGGAAAAGAGTGGAGACAACATGATGCAAATATTAAACCAACTTTTGAAATAGTACATAATCAAGACCATGGCTTGAAAATATTGTCCGGACCGGTATGTACTGTCAATATCTACCGGTCCTAGGTTGAACTGGCACATGAAGCAAGGGCTTTTACCTGGCCTGGCCCTATCTGATTCACAAATTGACACTCAGTAACCTGCATAATCTGGATGGTATTTTTGTTAAAAATTAGGATTTAGGATACTTTGTGTTCCTTCTCTGTCTACACTAAAAATGGGTTTGGCTTCATGCTGCTGTCAAGCACCTGCCAGCCCTTCTGTCTGGCACTCCTCTCCCCTCCTTGGCACCAACTGGTATGTCGGGTGTTAGTACACTGGTACATATTTGGCCAAAAGGGATTAGTAAGTCTAGTAGCCCAAATTTTGAATTATGATTGGGATTGATACCATAGTTCATGTGTTTACAGGCTTGGCTGCTATTTGTAATATACTCACATCGACCATGTATTGTATGTATTGTATGTATTGTAGGTGCCGAGTATGCACCAAGATCCTTCCGGCCTTCTGTAAGCTGAGCAATGAGTTCAGAAACCTCATGTTTGTCTATGCCGATATTGATGAATGTCCTGAAACGACACAAAGCATACGCTATACACCAACTTTCCATTTTTATCAAGATGGAGAGAGAGTTGATGAGATGCTTGGTGCAGGAGAAGAGAGACTACACGACCGGCTCTGGTTACATTCTTAATCTGTCCTTGTTCATATGTGATGGTTCTTCATAGGAAAGGTGTGAATCATCCTTGTTGGTCTGCTTTGCAAAGCATGGACTACTTGATGAATTCATTGTATGAATTGAGTGAACCAATATCCAAAGATCAAGTTGATTATGTGATCTCTGATCATGTTTCCCTTATTCCCTGTGTTTCTTATAATGATCTGTTGGTAGCACAGGGCATGTCGGTTGTTATTTCATTGCAACTGTTGCATAATGTGACTATACCAAATGTATTGGTTGATAAACCACATATTTATAATTGTTGAAACAATAAGCCAAAACTTACAGCGAAAAATGTAATACATAATGTAAAATGAGCTGCTTAACATGTTGGACTTGGATTGAGTTGGAGTTTGGAGACAACCATCTGTTTTGCGAATGATATAACTGATATTTTGGGACAATTGAGACTCTATATTATGTTAGGATGACAGTATATTTTCTGAAATATTCTTGATTCAGGCCATATCTCTTTGTTTGTACACTATAAAGAGGAGTCTCCCAAGTTTATCCATTTTAATTGAACCTGAATCTGACATGTATATATATATATATATATATATATATGTGTGTGTGTGTGTGTGTGTGTGTGATAATTTACCAAATAAAGTCCCTCATTATCTCACCCCTCATAATGCACTGCTCCAAATCCACAAGCAATTTGTCAAACTTACAATAGATGTTCTGAAAACTTCAGCTCTTACATTTGGCAAAAATTAAGGTCCATTTTGTCACTGTAAGATCCTTAATCTGATAAAGAACAAGGGTCTTAAGCTACAAACCAAAACAAGAATCTAATTAATCTCAGTTCCATACTGTCAATCTTTGATAAGCATATATCCCTGACATGATGTGAGGCCCCTTTCCCCATTCCATATGATAAACCAAAGTAAGCATATGCAATACAAACTGGCTAGAATATTCATCTATATCTTCAAGCAGAAATCTACTTGAGTTGAATACAGTTTAAGCTATATATTCATATTAAGAGAGATTGTGCAGACCCATGCAATCAAATGGGTTTAAATATGAGCATAACCTTAGTGCATGTGTGGATTTGAAGACTGCTGCTGACAGCTGAGGCAGCAGCAGCAGACAGACGAGGTACTACCCACAAGAAGTATCAAATCACAAGCAAATGCATAAAAAGAATCCAATACCATATCTGCTCAACCAAGGAACCGCCAGTCTTCTCTCATCAAACACCGGGCTAGCATGCTTCTGAGAAAAAGATCATGGTGTTCTATTACAGTAGTATTGCTCAGAAGATGTAGATGATCCTGCATTGAGTCATTAATATAGAGTGTTTTTGCTAATATTGCACTCAGAATTGTAGTTCAGCAAATGCTTGATCTCCTCATAGGTATAATCCAATGGAGTTTCTACATGGCTTCCTCCTCCTGCTTGCAACAACCTGTTGGTGTCCTCGAGGCCATCATGGATGCCGTTGTCAATGCTTACCTGCGTTCCTTCACAGCCCCTTCCATCATAGGCATACTCTAACACTGTCCCATAGCTGATCTGGGTGCAGCTACCACCAGAGGATCTGCAGCTCGGATCAGAACCAAAAGTTATCATGTTACTTCTGTCCATTTGGAGCTGATCATGGTGTAGAAGTTGCAATGAGTGTGTAAGCAGTGGTGGTGGCGGTGGTGGAGGTGAAACTTTGGATATCCTGAGAGATTGTGGAGACTTCTCGAATGCCTGTGAGGGGTTCTGGCTTCGGAGTCATATTGCAGCTACCCTGTGATGGGAGTAGGTGTTCATGGTGGGCTGCTATTGATGTGTTTACTCTTGGAAGAAATACTACCCAAAAATTTAGATCATGATGCGGCTGCTATTGATTTTTTAAAGACCATGTGAATGTAGATTCACCAAAATCAAATACAAATCTAATTATACTCTTCCGATCATTATAGCTTTCGATCCAATCACTATCACTATATCTATATCTAATGAGCTCCAAACTTTTAGATGATGAATAGAACATTCTATACTTCATTATCCCTTTAATATATCATAAAATTCTTTTAGCGATCTTTAAATGAGATGTATTAGGAGCTTCTATGTATCTAATTATTAAACCAACTCTAAATAATATATCAAGTCGAGCGCATGTCAAATATCTTAAATATCCAACTAGACTTTTATTTTTATAATAAGTTGGATTAATGTATGTACTTTCATTTTCCTTAGTCAACTTGGTGCTATATTACACATGTGCATCAATAGGATGACAATCTTTAATGAAAAACTTTATTAGAATTTTCTTTGCATAATTTTCTTCAAAATTCGTTTATTATTTTGTATAACTTCAATACCGAGGAATAGACTCAAGTTGGTCAACTCAAACTTCTTCTTTATAGAATGTTTAAAATCCTTAATCATGGAGATATTATTACTTTATATATACATACAAATAAAATATCAAATCAAAGTTAAATTTATTATAGAGAACATGCTCATGGGGCTTGTTTAAGCCCATAAAGAGCTCTCTTTCACTTATATATCTTTTTTTTTTATTCATAAATAATAAAACCAAGGGGTTGTTAAACATATACCTCTTCTTTAAGAACTCTATTAAAAAATATTGATTTGATATCTATTTATAAAAATTTTTATTTCATTTGAGCTACTAGAGAGATAATAAATATTCCCATCTCCAATCGAATAATAGGTGTGAATACTTTTTTATAATCGATCTCATATTGTTGTTTGTATCCCTTTGCAACCAATCGTGTATTTCTCTACCTCCTCTTGTGTATTTCTTTTTGTTTTGAAGATCCACTTAACACCAATTGCTTGATGCTCTTCTAGAAGTACCGTAAGATCCCATATATCATTTTTATTAATAACATAAATCTCCTCATTCATAACTTATCGTCATTTTTCTTTTCTACAAACTTCTTCGAATGTTAATGTATTGTAAAAAAGATAAAATAAAATAATTTATCATTGTTAGTACCAATCTTTTGAGTTACATCATATACTCCTGAATCGTTCTTGTCCTTCTTACAATTAGACTTCTTGAATCATGTAACCTAATCGATCTAGGTGATGATCAGACAAAGACTCTTTGGTATTTGCTTATAGTATATCATCCTCTTCTGAAGATATAACTTTCTTATGCAACTCATTATTTTTTTCAGTTCCAAATCTATTGTTGATCAAACTCAATATCTCATGTCATCACAAGTTTATTTATGATAATATTGTAGAGTTTGTAACCATTAGAATTCTCAACATAACCGCTATGAGTATTCCACTCTTTGATACCGAACTTATATGTAAACAAAAATAATGAGTTGCATAAGAACTTATTTTACATATAAGTTCGGTATCAAAGAGTGGAATACTCATTCTGTATGTCCCAACATAAGTTTTAAATTGGATGCTGATGCTCCCATAAAAAGATTGTAGCATGATCCAGCAATCTTTTAACATGTTGCATAGATAACATGGCATCATTTCCGTGTTTCAGTTCTTTTTCTTTACATATACAATACACGTTCTAAGACCCAAAACAAGTTATATAGATTGGGTGCTGATGCTCCTATAATGATATTGTTGTATGAAAGAATGAAGGAAAACTTTTGATGTTGCATCCTCTTTTTTATTTTATGTTGCATGAATCTCAGTAGAAAATGCTGGGTTTGAATCCAATGCTTTCATTGCGAGGTTGCGAGTATCTTCTCTAGAGGACTCTCGTGATATGCGAATAAGCTCCTTGATCCCTCCGCTCCTTATGATCTCTAGTGTATTATCCTCTACAAAGGATCCATCATCATTCTTAGAAAAAAATGGTTAAACAAGTGTAAAATGTAAAACAATATTCTGCATGACATGTAATAAATCAAAATGGTTCATCAGCTAGAGTTCAGGCACCACATGTATGTGACAAAAGAATCTAAATCATAAAATAAATTATCTCATTAACTTCAAAAGCAACTTTAACCAGCAACAAACTCGCATTTGAAACAAGCAATGGCAATCGTGTCCATGCAAAATACATGTTAGATCATATGGTTTATAATTTTATTGAAAGTCAGTGTATAACATACCAGCACATCAAAATCATTTGATATAAGACTGCTTCATCGCAAACATTGTCAATGATCTGCTACACTATCAACACTGCTAATTTAATTTCTTTGTATTTAATGGGTGATTGTAGCAGTTGTTTCTGGTAGATACCTTTTTATTTTATCTTTACCTAGAGAAGAAAACTCTAATTTCTGCATGTAGTCATTTTCAAGTAAAACTCAGTCCAATTAATATGAAAACTTGGCTCAAACATCACCAAGTCCGACATCCTTATCCTTGGCCAAAGCAGTTTGATGAATTACCTGTTGTTCTATTTTTATCCTTCTGCTCAAAAAATACTTTTCCTGAATACTGTACTAGTCTAGAAAGCATTATATCATTTGGAAGTTGATAGAACAAGCTTCTTAACCTGCTGATGTATTAAAGCTCATTTAACCCAACCATAGTTCTCATCACCATCTCAATAAAACAATACAAAGCATAATTTATCAATTTTATGATATACCTAATAATGAATGAATAATATATCATAAAGACAAGATTAACGATAAAGATCAATGACATGTTATGGTGTAACAAAGTTTATTATCAAATAGATGCAAAGAGCTAAATCAAAAAATGCCACAAAGTCCACAGTTTGTTATAAAGATCATGAAGACTCTGGTATTGCAATGAAGATTAGAAAAAAAATGATTGTTCCGGTTAAAATAATGTATTATGATAGGCAAAACCAGAAACATATTTGGACATCCATCGTAGGCATCCAAATGTGTATTATGATAATTTAATACAAAATGGCTCATCACTGATCTACCAAGGGCATAACAGACTGATCCTGTTATAAATGCCAAATTTTCACAAAAAAATGATAGAAAGAAAAGTTAAAACCAATGGCAACATGTAAAAATAGAAAGTGTGTGAGTTAATAGCATATGTACCATTTTGAGCTAAATGACAGAATGCAAGTTCAATATGCCGTCTTGTTGAAGCTGAAAATGTAGCAGAGCTAGTGGCCATCCAATTTAATACTCCATCTTCAATAAGAAGAGACCTTCCCTTTCTATGTCCTTTGGAACAAACAATTACAAAGACTCAATAAAAGTATCCTGGTGAAATATCGTATAAAATTCTACTTGTACTTGTGCATAGACTTAAGTCAGAAAACAGGTGTGTAATTACACCTTAGAGAACAAAAAGACAGTACGCTAAACACAGGACCATAACGTTATGTCACCTTAAATGTGAAAAGAAAAATATATATTTAGAATTGTGAGATTCTGATTTTGAACACCAAGGAATGTCCCAGAACTCCAAATTTGAAGAAATGAAATTGGTCATAAAGCATACTCAAAACATTTCAAGCTACCATAATGTACTAGAACATTTTTGGTCCCTGTCATCATTATCAAGCATAGCAATTATACCATTCCTGAAAAAGAAAACATATTTTATAAACACATCTAATCAGAATGATATGTGGAAAGTAAAGCAGATTTTTGCAGTCAGTTAACCTGGTCTAAATTTCTCATGTACTTGGATCCAAGGCCACGCAAAGTTCATGTTGAATTAGAGAAACAAGAAACCATGAAAACCAACTAATGATTCCCAACTTCCTTGTCATAATATGGTCATGTAACCAATGAACCATGCACCTTAGCCATGCTGACTAAGGGCTGGCACAACAGGAGATCCATAGCCTAAAAAGGACTTGTGATAGATGCATAGAAGAAGACAAAGTGCTAGTGAATAACCATGCTAAACAAGCCACACCAATCCCATGCCAATAAATGTTGTATATTCATGTAATACTGTAGCATGCCAGGAACTGAGCAGCACGAGTAGGGAACCATAAACTCAATTGTAAGTACTTTAATGAAAGGTTTCAAGTTTTGGTCCAAAAACCATACCAGTCTGAGATCAGTACACAACACATGGTGTCCCAGTAAATCAGTTGACACAAACCTAAGAGAGTAAGAGAAGAGGGGAGCAGGAGGAGGACAAGTAGAAGAGGAGAGGACTGTTGACAGCAGTCAACAATTGTCCAGATTAAAAAAACGAAAAATGATTTCAAACTCACATGTGCCAGTTCCTGGTCAGTCCAGCAAGTTCTAGTCAGTATATATCGGTCAATCTATTTCTTTTAACGTTGCTACAATGTTATTTATTTAGTGGATGCAATAATGAGTTTGGTGTAATCGACCAGGAACACCTAGGATGATATCTAATCAAACTCTCACAATCGTTTAACTTTGGGCCTGTTTTACTTCAGGTTATAAAGCCTCAACATTATACGAACCATCTCATCCAAGATAATCAGTCTTAGCTAGGTTTAATCCTTTTTAAGAAGAGGTATTACAAAGTAAATCATATCTTTCAAAGCAAAAAATGCAAAAGTTAAAAAGTAAGTCATATCTTAAAATAAGCTTAAGTTGACAAGTGATCAGTAATTTCATAAAACAAGAAAGAATTATAATAACCTCGTGATTCACATTTTGCAAAATTTGCAAACCCTCGGGCAACCTGAGCTATGACATCGCTATGTCCACACTGCACCATTCCCAAAAGTGCTTTGAGACCACCATCCTTTTTCAATGTCACATGTAACTTTTCTGTCAATCAAAAGGCATGTCTTAAGCAAAATTTTGTTTTTATCTAAGAGATAGAAAGATGAATTCTTGGATATTTCAATTGCATATATAGAACACAAAAATCAGAAAAAAAGATTAAGAAATATATATAAATCCACAATTTCCAAAAGAAGCAATCTTTAGTTTAAAACATAATGTAGGGCCACACATCAGAGGTTCTATAATTATTAGCATTGGCTCGTCCTCATTATATTGTTCACTGATAGTTTTAGGAATAGTAAAATTACATCAAATGAATCACTGGTGCAGTAAACCTGTGCACCAAAAGAACACATGTTTTTTCACAAAGTGCATAAAAGATGGTTTCAGAACATTACCGGAATTGGAAAAGTAACAAGGAGGTGTCAAGACCATGAAATAACACAAAATATATGCTGAACACCTTTCAAAAAAAAAAGTAGTTGACTAACATGTATTTTAAACCATGTCAATTGGCTACACTAATTTGTGAAATATTTATAAACTATAAACTAAGGTATGCAATTTCGTACCGTACCCGAGTTTCGACGTTCGCTCAGTACAGTACGAAATTGTATACCGAGCGGTATACCATTCGGTATACCGTTCGGTATATATATATATATATATATATATATA